TACATGGTATTGTCATCCTCAGAGTCAAGAAGAAAACGGCAAAACTTAATAATAAATGGCAAAGAATTTGAAGGAGTCAAAAAATTCAAGTATCTAGGAAACCTGATCGATAATGCAGCCAGAACAACTACGTCAATTAAAGATAGAATACAAACAGGTAATGCAACATATTACGCCAATTTGAAGCTAACTAAAAGCAGATTGATATCTCGGAAGACCAAGTTACAAATATATAAGACCCTTATTAGACCAATCGTTACATATGGCGGAGAAATGTGGACTACGACAAAGAATGATAGGAGCATGTTCGAGCCCACTGTGGCTCTCCCCTGTTCCACCGTCCACGCCCCAACCGCGCGCTTTCTCCGCCCCCGCGCAGGGAACCGACTGTGCGCCGACGAGAGGGATCCCTCCAGCTTTTCATCCCTGACCACCAGAGTTCGGGGTCTCATTTACATGCCCGTTCCCTTGTTTTTTCTATGTTTTGAAAAGATAGGGGTTCGGCCTGCTCTCTGGTCCAAGTCAGACGCTCTCGACTTTGCCCTCGTCGCGCCCTAGTCGGAGCTCTCAATCCCATCCTTTCCATCCCGTGCACGCACGTTTACTGCTGCACACGCCCTTGCTCGCACGTCTACTGCAGCTTCCTATCCTTGTGCTCGCACGTGTACTGCAGCACCCTGTCCTTGTGCTCGCACGTATACTGCAGCGCACCTCCTCCTATATGCACGCACGACTAATGCTGCGCCTCCATCCTTCACCTGTCCCTTAACGTCTTTCCCCCGGACATAATTATTCAAGTGTTATAGCCCTATGTATGTATGTATTGGTCGTGTATTTTTCCTATGTAACGTGTACATATATTGTTGAGAGATAAAGATTAGAACTTTAAGATTAAGATCTCCTGCTGATGATCCATGTCGTGGGCTCGTAGCGGCATATCGACTTTCTGAAGGAATCTTACATATCTTGGTTCTAGTCACGGCTCCTATTTCTCAGCTGGTCCCTCGTGCTCCCGCCCAGAGCATGCTGCAAAGATTTGAGAGAAAAATCATAAGAAGGATTTTTGGAGCCAAGAAAATGGAGAATGGAAAATTCTAAACAACAGCGAAATCGACAAGATACCAGAACAGGAAGATATAGTTCGATTCATGAAATTGCAAAGAATTCAATGGCTAAGACATGTTAGCAGGATGAAAGAGGAAAGAATGCTGAAGAGAATCATGAAAGCCAAAGTTCTATCGAAGAAAAAGAGAGGAAGGACAGGGCTAAGATGGCAAGATGAGGTAGAGAAAGATCTTAGAGCCATAAAAGGGATAGGATGGAAAGGAAAGACCATGGACAGAGTAGGATGGAGACGCGTAGTCTCGGAGGCCAAAGCCCACCCTGGGCTGTAGCGCCATTACTAATATAATAATAGTACAGAAAATGTTAAAACAGAAGCAAAGATAAGAAAGAGTGTACCAGGAAGAGGAAAGGTCAGCAAACCAGAAAAGGTCAGGTGGGAAAGAGAGCTTACACATAGTATTTTTGGATTCTGAAATACTATGCACGCACTCACTCCACTGAGCAAAATCAGATAAGCCATCGCGCACAACCGCGGGTTCGTCGGGCAGGGTATGCAATATTAGGGACAGATCAGGGCTTATATTTGAGAGGGGCTCCTGTCCCCTTCCCCCAAACCATCTTTGCCCCTACCCTCCTTTCTATAACAAAGCAGACCCAGACGCATGCTCAATGCTCATCGAATCGAGCGCACTTGCACCCATTATCTATTGGTTTTGGAGCAGATATCCCATTAGCAAAATGAGGAAATGTGGTTTTTGATATTTCAAAGTCGCAGGAGGGTGCGAAGAAGTTTGTAAGCCTCACCCTCCCACCCCCACACAAAAAGAGCCTTGCAAATGCGCTCCAATCGATGTGCATGCCTCCAGGTAGGGTATGCAATATGGGGACACATAAGGGCTTATACTTTAGGGAAGTCCTGTCCCCTTCCCCCAAACCCCCCTTTCCCTTGCCCTCCTTTCTATACCAAAGCGGACCTAGAGTGCAACCCGCAGGCATGCTCATCAATTCGAGCACAATTGCAGGGCTTTTATATTGGTGGGAGGGGGGCAGGGAGTCCTGAGTGTTTCTTTGGGGGAAGGGGGGCTTAAAAACTTCTTCGCACCCTCCTGCGACTTTGAAATATAAAAAACCACATTGCCCTATTATGCTAATGGAATATCTGTTCAAAAATCAGCAATTTTCAGCCAATTCAGGGCTAAAAATCTTCAGATCGATTTTATTTTCCAATAGCTCTACCAAATTTCGTCAAGGGCTTAAATTAACATGGTCACATCCTACTTTAAGGTTCCAGAGGAAAATTGGTGGCAACGGGTTCTTTCATTTTACTTTGGCTCAAACGAACAGACACCAAGGGAAGTCAAGGGAGCTCAGAGACCATGGAATTCGGGTTTCTTGGTGTCAATTACCTAGGCTACCACCTTCATCCGGAGAATTTATGTTAATTTTGCGACCATAGAGTAATTTTTTAAGGGGGCACTGCCCCCTTTTTAGGAAGTTACTTTTGTTCTTGGGTGGATCAATTTCAGCTCTTAGGGGTGAATTAAGGTTTAAATTAGTTGTGTTCTTCAATTCGGATGCAACCAATTTGCGATTCGGAAAATAGCCCCCATTTTTAAAATGGAGCTCTCATTTACCCCCAGGGGCAACAAGGGGTGCTTCGGAACCATAAAAGTCGGATTTTTTGGGATCGATTACCTGGAATACCATAATTTTAAGGGGTCAGTTTAAAGTGAAATTTTGTACTTTTCAATTTAGCTGCAATTAAATCGGAATTAATTGGGTCGGGAACCACAACATTTTGGATCACGACCCCTTTACCCCCCAAGGGCCAAGGCACCATAAAAACAGATTGATCCTTTCTAAAGGAAGGTTGAGAAAGAAATCGTGCACGACGTCATGTCCAGGCAGTTATGCTGGTATGGACATGTGCAAAGAATGTCGGAGGAAAGGTTGCCCAAACAAGTTTTGGATTGGGTACCACCTGGGAAGAGGCGACGGGGACGTCCCGTAAAGGGTTGGCGGCAGGGCGTTGACGAAGAGATGTTGCAGTGTCAGTTGCCCAATAACCTCTGGGAAGACAGGCATATGTGGCGTTTGGGTGTCGTAGAACGCCAGAGTGCGTTATAAAGCGACTTTATATGTATATATAGATGCACCGAACTTGAACCGTAGGAAATAGATTCAAAGGTTTATTCCTCTACAATGATGAGGACCAAGTTTGAGGATTTTTTGCAACGTTAAATATCCTTTCTAAAGACTCCAGAGGTAACTGAACACTATTAAAGTGAATAGGTCCAGATGAGGAGCTCTGCAGAAGAGGAACCCATAGGTCTACGGAATTCTATTGAACTTCCATAGTTTTTTTATTATGAAAAGTCTTCAGATCTGGTAGAGGTCTGCTCAACACATCTTTAAAAAAACACTGTATCTCGGTCCATTATTGACAATATGTACTGGTGGGCAATTACTTTGGTTGCGGACGTTACATTCAACTGTTGTGTGACGTTACGTACCTTAAACTGTCCAACAGCTGGTTTGTTAGGCACAAAAAGTTTAAAATTGTTGACTTAGTAAAGTACCTTACTCTCTATCTCGCTGCAAATTTTTGTTGAAAAAAATTATATACAATTCAAGATACAGGTCAAAGAGGACCGTTGCGGACGTTATGGAAAAGGCCTCTCACTTTTGAAGACCTTACTTTGACTTTAATTATTATAGAAACTTTATTTTACTTCATCTAAATTCTGATTGGCCCTGGTAACATCTCATTAAGTCTATTTTTCAATCAGGTGTCTATTTCAAAGAAAGTTTATATCATTTTGTTGAGATATTGCCATTTTTATGGCGTTGCGGACGTTACAACAATTTGCTGCAGAAGATGTAGTAGAATTTATGCAGTACGCACCATAATAACGCTGTTATAGCAAGAGCCCCAGAACAGGCGCATTAACCGTACCATTCAACGCGAAAAGAGCTTAAAAATAAGTGCAGTTAATAAGTAAATTGCATTTAAATGCGTATCATAAGGGCAAATTTATCAAACATTATTTAGGAAAACAATAAGGGACGTTCTATCGAGATTAAATTTAAAATTGAATACTTTTTACATATGAAAATGAAGTGAAACATAATAGGGCTGCTATTCTGTACCTGGATTCATAATAGGAGCCTATCAAGCAAGTTAAATGCTAGATTACTTCTTCCTTGAGCCATGTGATGTCCTCTACGTTGCGGACTGCTGACATTACTCTTTTTCAACTTCATATAACATGATAACTGAAGTATCTAAATACGCTTTGATACTACTGGAGTACCAATAAAGAACATTTTTTATCGTTTACCAAACATGAACCTCTGAACTGGCTCCTGCATTAAATGGCATCAAGTTTAGTAGCTCTTCTGTTGCGGATGTTACATTTTCACATGCCTTGACTAAATGAGAAAAATATTACTTATATTGAAATTTTTCTGATTTTTGAAGGCTCTTTGATATTGCTGAGGAACTCAATTGAAACTCTTTTAGGTTGCATATCTTAAAGATGCAATGTGCAAAGAATAAAAATCACTCCAAACATAACACTGAAAATCACAGGTCTAAAAAATGCCTTCAGAAAACTGGAAAATCTTGCAAATCCGGGAAATGAAAATTAAAAGCAAACTCATTTCATGAAATTGAAGATTTTTCGTATTCAGTGCACAAAATTTTATCGTGCTCGAGGAAAGTTGATTTATCAACCTCGAAGGTGCTTTTTTGAAATAGTTGCCCTGAACAAAGGTTCATTTTGTAGACAATGGGGAGCTCTAAAAAATCCTGCAAACTATTACTTTTTAGCTGTTTTTTTGTTGGCTCATGAGGTGGACTGATGCAAAAATTTTAGAGAAAGCCTTTGTATTTACCTAGAGAAATTTCTTGGGAAGAAGAAACTAAAAATTACCATGAGGAACTTCCTTCACGATCATCTCCGCATCTAATGAGTCAGATCTGCACAAAGCATTCTCACTGTCTAATGAGTTGTCTCCATTGTTCTTGGAGTTCCATTCACTTTTCTTCAAATTATCTTTTGCTGAAATGAGGATGGATAAATGAATTGCTTTACTTTCCCTTTCAATATAGAAAGATTTTGAGCTCATTTTGCAGAATTGAGTTGTTGAAAAGATAGGTATGAGAAAACATGAAAAAAAAAGCATTGGAAAATGTACAAAAATCCCTCGGTTCATCTAAGTGTCGATTTTTGCCACACAGAAGCGCCATCCTGCTGAGGAGCGGCTGAAGAATTTAATTGAAAACCTTAATTTACTGCACAAATCACAAACCGTAGACATGTTGTTTTTTAACGGCAGATGAGGTTTTACATATTCTGTTCAAAAAAAAGTGTGCTCTAGCTTCAAAACTAAGCAAGGGTAACTTGCAAGCTTGCAAGATGGAGGATTACAAAAGAGATAAAATAGGTGCATTGCAGAGTCATAATCTCAATGCAAAAAACATCTTGACTCCATGTCGTTGGAAACTTGTGTAAGTTGATAATGTTGAAGGGTGATGACCTCCCCCTCCCCTTCTGCGTGGGCGTACATTCTTTGTTACTGCTTTTCAGCAGAGAGTGAAAAAAGTCATTAAAACACGTGAGTGAAAAAAGTCTTTTTGGTTTGACAATCATGAAATTTTAGAAAAGCGATACAAGTAAAAGGTTCGAGAGCTAAAATGTTATGAAGCTTCGAAAACCGAAATAATAAGAAGTTTTAAGACCTAAAAAAGTCAGAGGTTTCAAAATCTAAAACAACTATCAGAAGTTTCAAGTACCAAACTATATGATCTTACTTACCTATTACTTCAGGGATCCGAGATTTTTGTTGAACCACACTTTCATTGTGGATAAAATCATGTGTTATCTTCTTTTCTTCAGCTTTGTATTTACATTCTTCACCATCCCCTGAAAAACAGATAAATTAAGTAAGAAAAAACATTTCCTTTTACTTTAACATACGGATTATGACTAACCCCTTACTCCATTGAAAAACAACAGATGGCACAAATACTTCCATGGGACTTTCAGTGGGGCAATGGTAAGCAATGCATTATTCTCTTCATTTTGAGGTCTGGAAAAATAACTTTGTTAAGGACAAAGACAGGCCATCGTCTCATAAACTATTAGTGCCATTCCTTATCTTGACTAGAGGGGCTTGGTGGACACGGCGCATAAATGCAGTTTTTCACGGCTCCGTTGAAGGGAAGTTATATGAAAAGTGACTGGTCGTCTCCGAACTCTTCGGCATCTTCAAGTAGGGTAAAAATACTATGTTTTTAGCCAAAAATCGAAATGTGTTGTTCGAGCTCCTCGAAAAATAAATCGACTTTTAGGCTTTTTTCTCAAAAAAATCACGAAATTGAAGAGATTTCCATTTTTTTCAGAAACAAATCGTATCTCAATCTAAAATCTAATTATACCGTTAAAAAGCCCTTGCTTCCAGCTTTCTAACGGTCTATGGTTTTTGTAATTTGGAGCAACTGACCGTCTATAAACGGAATTTTACTGCAATCATATCAAGGAATTTTCCGCCAACTCGGACGGCCGGTTCCCTTGAATTTATCTCTGCTATTTTTGAAATTAAAAAATAAAACATGCACACCGTTAGAAACATCACACTCTCAGCTTTCTATTGGTATAATAATTTTTGAATTTTGAGCAACTCAACGCCGGCACATAGGAATTTTTCGAAACTATGTCCAAAAACGAAGAAAAACGGGTGGCTCCAGTCAAAGTCAATTTCTCACCGCCCAAATGCACCAAAATGAAAAACCAACATGTCGTTAGAAAGCTAAAATTGTCAGCCTGTAGACCAATAATTACATTAGGTAATTTGGAAAAGCTATGATAAATGGCCAAATTTGGCAACCATGAATTTTCACTAAGACAGGTATGATTCATAATGTGTCATATGAGACACAGGACTCTCAGGTAATGTTCAGAGTGACCAAACTCTCCTCAAAAATGACGGGGGGAAAATTAAGAGATGCCTCCCTAGAAAAAAGAGTAGCTAAAATACAAGGTTTCATCTCCGACTTAGATTCGTATTTTTTAATCAAGATTTTTTAACGCTACAAAAAACCAAGGTACCATTCGAAAGCTGACAATTTTAGCTTTCTAACGACATGTTGGTTTTTCATTTTGGTGCATTTGGGCGGTGAGAAATTGACTTTGACTGGAGCCACCCGTTTTTCTTCGTTTTTGGACATAGTTTCGAAAAATTCCTATGTGCCGGCGTTGAGTTGCTCAAAATTCAAAAATTATTATACCAATAGAAAGCTGAGAGTGTGATGTTTCTAACGGTGTGCATGTTTTATTTTTTAATTTCAAAAATAGCAGAGATAAATTCAAGGGAACCGGCCGTCCGAGTTGGCGGAAAATTCCTTGATATGATTGCAGTAAAATTCCGTTTATAGACGGTCAGTTGCTCCAAATTACAAAAACTATAGACAGTTAGAAAGCTGGAAGCAAGGGCTTTTTAACGGTATAATTAGATTTTAGATTGAGATACGATTTGTCTCTGAAAAAAATGGAAATCTCTTCAATTTCGTGATTTTTTTTGAGAAAAAAGCCTAAAAGTCGATTTATTTTTCGAGGAGCTCGAACAACACATTTCGATTTTTGGCTAAAAACATAGTATTTTTACCCTACTTGAAGATGCCGAAGAGTTCGGAGATGACCAGTCACTTTTCATATAACTTCCCTTCAACGGAGCCGTGTTTTGCTATTTCGGGAAATCAATATGTTTGAAGTTCTGAAATCACATGGATCCTTATGGCTGAAAGAAAGTTCAAACTGAATTTTTGATGCTTATAAATTTGAATTGGGAGCAAATTTTTCAAAGAATATGCATTAAGACTAGTTTTACTTGAAATCATTAATATCTCAAGGTTTTCAAAAACTGCACTTATGCCCTCTATCCTCCAAGCCCCTTAGTTAATTTTTCTTTTTAATGCAGGATTTTTCTCCTGTACTAAAGTTACTTCCAACTGAGGCATTTTTCGGTAAGAGGGCGGATGAGACTTCTAATGCTCCTAAGATTGTGCGAGGAAGCTCTTTAGTTGTAAGTAACTTATCCAGTAATCCTACAGAATTTTTTCCTGCACCTACTCCTACTTTTTCCACTTAATTGCAAGGAAGTAAGTTGACTGTGAATGAATTTTATCTGCCTAAAACACTAAAACAAATTGCCCAATCTTAGCAGCATTGCAAGTCTCATACGCTCTTCTACGGAAAAAAATTCTTCAATTTACACTTTCATACTAAAGAATCTTAATGAAGATGTAATGTGTGGATTCAAAAGCACTGAGACTGCATAAGCTATTTTCGATGATAGTGTTGAGGCTGACTTCTTTTTAATTGAATGATATTTTGGCCTGATGTAATTGGGCGGACGTAGGCAAGGCAGAAGAAACTAATTACAACATTAATTGAGCAATCTGTGTTCTTTTGATGTAAAATAACACGCTTTTGTGATCTCTGTAGTATTTTGATCTTCTGTTAGTCAGTTTTACTATTACACTTTCTTTTCTTTTTCATCATTTGCTAGGGAGCTATTTGGATAAATCTGGTATAAAAAAACAGGGATGGAATTTGGTAATAGTTAATAGTTAAGTGCTGTGATGGTGAAAAACATAGAGAACAGGGCCTACGCGAGTAATATTCAAAACCACAAAAAACCCTCAAAAAGGGTAAAAATTCCACCAAGCCTATGAGATCTTATCACAAAATTAGTAGGTATTTGTCTTAAGAATTTTTAAAAAAGGAGAGGGGGGGGATGGTAATCTCTTGAAAATTACAGAAGGAGAAAAGAAAAGCAACTCAAATTCTGTTTTCCATTTCACACCTCAAAATGTCTGATATCATTTGAGGTCAAGATTTTTTAAGTATAGGTACGCCCCAGAACTAGAACGAGCAAACGGGAAATTAATTCTGCTTAGAGTCCCCTTCAGTTAGTCTCGGACGCAACCAGCTTACCTTTGAAGCTAGTTTGGTTGCCTGGGTCACTAATACAAGGAAAGATAATTGGATTTGCTTCCTTCGAGAAGATGGCGAGGGATAAAATAAGCAGTTCTTTTTTCAGTCTCAAACCTCAAAATATTTGATATCTTTTGAAGTCAAGATTTTTTACCATCTCCTCATCTCACTTTCATTTTCGTTTTGCATTTTAGGAAACTAATTCCACTCCTATACATCATTGAACTTTCTTTAATTTTTCGCTAATTATTCCCCTTCATTTCAGGTAGCCGCAACTCTTCTTACCTACAATAGCTATGTAAGGAACCATTGTATAATACTTACGAGACCTTCCTCGTTTAGATCAAGAATAGAATAAATATTTTCAATTCAGATTCTGGCACACTCTTTGAAAATTAAAAAAAGAAGTCAGGTAGATGAAGGTAGAATTTTTGAAAAAAGCCAAAGAAAGTTAGCTAAAAAATAAAAAATTCTGGCGAGACGGTCCGGATACGTATCATTTGAGTGTCAGCTGCAGCCCATCTTCTTTTAGACATCAAGGTATAGCCTCAAGCATTGCAAGTAGAACAACAATGGAAGGATTACTTGAATGCTCGAAAAAACTCCTCTTAAATTCCAGCTAGCACTTTAAGCTTATGAAATTCGTTTCATGGCAGATCCCGAGGACTTATTTAGAAATCTATTCGTTCACTTGAAATGAAGGAGCTGACCATCGAATTTATGATTTTTCCGCCTGGCGCTCACAGTAATAATTAGCCGTCCTGAATTTTGAAGGACCAGTAATAATTAGCCGTCCTGAATTTTGAAAAAAAGTTAGCTAAAAAATAAAAAATTCTGGAGAGACGGTCCCGATACGTATCATTTGAGTGTCAGCTGCAGCCCATCTTCTTTTAGACATCAAGGTATAGCCTCAAGCATTGCAAGTAGAACAACAATGGAAGGATAACTTGAATGCTCGAAAAAACTCCTCTTAAATTCCAGCTAGCACTTTAAGCTTATGAAATTCGTTTC